TTCGGTCCCAAGTGAGTCAGGGTACTTGCTCCCTCCTCTATGTCGATTCAGCAGCAGCTGGGTGATGATGCTTATTTGGCTGAACTGGGGGTGGCAGGCGTTTTACAACAATCACTGCTGTCTGGCCTATGGTTCATCAGCACAATTGGCTAAGCCTTGGGGAAAAGTCACAAATGTTCAGGTCAAAAGTCTTCCTCGGTCCCAAGTGAGTCAGGGTACTTGCTCCCTCCTCTATGTCAATTCAGCAGCAGCTGGGTGATGATGCTTATTTGGCTGAACTGCGGGTGGCAGGCGTTTTACAACAATCACTGCTGTCTGGCCTATGGTTCATCAGCACAATTGGCTAAGCCTTGGGGAAAAGTCACAAATGTTCAGGTCAAAAGTCTTCCAACTGCCAGAATCTATTGACTTGGAGAAAGGAGTTGAGGGATGGAGTCAGCGATGATACAAGTGACCCTCTTTGTCAGAGAGATTAGATGTCACAAAGAGTATTGTCAAACCAAGTCTTCCCAGCAGGGTGGGAAACAGAGATCTGAGTGCCTCACTGCTCCAAGGGCAGACCAACCTCAGTCTGAAAGTGGAATGACAGCCCACTCGGTCAGAGTGCTAAGGGGTCACCTGCCCTATGCATAAGCCTTCTTTCTTTCTCTTTCCACTCACTATATCTGAGAAAAACAGGAAGTGGTTACAGAAATCTCAGAGCTCTTAAAAGGTGGATAAAGGATTTAACATTGACTCCGGGTTTGTAAAGTGCTTGGCATTTCTGATTGGTCTTTGATTCCCGTTTTAGGTTGCAGAACGGCTGATGACAATTGCTTATGAAAGTGGCGTTAATCTCTTTGATACTGCTGAAGTCTATGCTGCCGGAAAGTAAGTCAGAGCAGTGTTTGTCCATCAAGAGGCATCTGTGGAACCTAGACATTGCTGTTGAGGAATAGCAGATGTTTCTCTGCTCATGTGCTAGATGGGGCAGCATTGCTCCTCCTCAGTCCTCCCCACCACTAGAATTGGGAGTGTTGACCTGTGGGGCCCTCTTAGCACTCCCAAGCCATCCCTATATGAAAAATGGGCTGAAGCAAGACAGGAACAAGAAGTGACTCACAACTATCAACTACATGAGGGGCAGAGGTAGCTGATGCCAGAGAGGTGACAGCCTGGCCCTTTGCTGGTATTCCTGACAGTTCAGACATGAAAGATGGAATCCCCGATGATGCCAAGAAATCAATAGCTTTTATAAAAGGGCATTTTAGAACCTACTCTGAGAACAGAGTGGGCTGTCGAGAGGCCTCGCTTCTGTGTGAGGAATCACTTCTAGTGACAGGCTTCACTTGGGCCTGTGTGTATTTGGGGCACTAAACAGGTCTTGATAAGTCAGAGCACGTAGCTAATATGCTATTAGTCAGACCACCAGGCCTATGCCATCCAGCACCCAGTGTAACTATTTCAAAACAGGTCTGAATCCCTGGTCTCCTGGACTGAATTTAGATGTCAGACTTTCATCAGCAAAGGAAGTAAATAACTCTGCTGTTCTTTCAGGAGACTGTGACACATGGCCACAAGAGGCCTGCTGCGCCTCCCTCAGGAGAGTTACAATCAAGCTTCAGCTTGCCAGTCTCCCTAGCCAAATCAGCCCCACCAAATGATCTAAGAGCGTTTTCCTTGCTTGATTTCCTCCTTTTTAGTACAGGTCTATGTTTAAAGACTGTCAGAGGCAGTTGGGAGGCCACATCCCTTCTGTTTTCTATTGAGTCCAAGAAAAGAAAGTAAAAGTTGTAAAGTTTGCTTCTTTCCACGTGCTCCTTGGTCTGAGGGTTTCCTCTATTGCATCTTGCTCCGCACCAAAAGGCTGAGGTAAAAAAAAGGAGGAGTGAGTGGCAGGTCTGCTAGAGTCCTGTTTGTACTCCTACAATGAGGGTCAGTAGTTTGACTAACGATTGGCTGATTGTCACTGTGGAAGTCAGATAGGGTCTCACTGTGAAATCAAAGATTATATACAACAATAGTGAGATAGGGAGAAATGAAAAAAGGTCGGTACCGTCCAATGCCTATTTGGGGCATGCTCCATAGCTAGCTTGCATCATGATTTCTTGGAGGCTGCACCCTCTAATAAAGACAACTTTTGTTTAAGTCAAATAATAATTAGCAATGAGACTCATAGACAGCCCACTAATGAACAAAGTGCTAACTCACAGAACCCTGGCAGCCCAGGTGCTTCTCACACTGAGGGTCTCAGTGGAAGAAATATAAGAGAAACTATCAGGTTCCTCAATCTTGGAATATCTGCCTGGGGAAAGTGAAGGGAAAGAGGACATTGGGGTGTCTTCAGTACAGCTTCCCACAACCCAGCCTTAGAGGACAGGAAAGATATTTTGTAATGTCTCCTTATATCTTGGCCCTATGACAACATGACTTAATTCTAGGACATTCTCATGTGGACCACTATGTCAGCCACCCTGGATGTGGGGACATTTAATGCACACATAGATTCCTTATTTATCCTCCAAGATCATGTGTGGGCCAATATTTCCTGTCTAAACAGTCCTAGGTCTCCTTGCCTCTGGTCACAACTGAATTGTTCCATAGCAATTAGAAGGAAAACCTTGACACTCGTTGGACACCATCAGGCAGGATATTTATATATGGGATCAGTGGTTCAAAAACACCAAGCTGCCAAACGATTCTGCTGATTCTTCTATCAGGACCGCAGGCGGTCTCCTGCCAGCACGTCGGGATCTGGCAGGTACTCCTGGAGTGCTCAGGAACAGGATTCTGCAGGCACAAGCAGAAACTGTGGAAACTGCACTACCAGCTGAGCGAGCTTCTATTTTTGGGGTCTGTGGGCACAGAGAGTTCAAGCAAGGAGTGGCTCTGGTGTTTGGGTTGACCCTTTCTTTTCTGGGACACTGCATCCTAACACATTGTCTGTTTCCTCCTCTAGAGCTGAGGTGATTCTGGGGAGCATCATCAAGAAGAAAGGCTGGAGGTACTGTTTGACATAACCACTTGTTTGCCCTTTTAAAGACTTACTATTTTGTTCCAGAGAAGGGAAAATAAAATCGTATGACACTTGATCAAAGTTCTGACCCCCCCCCAAAAAAAAATCAACACTCAGTAAATAAATAATTTACATTCATTTGGAAATAAATGCCAGAGAGTTTATTACTTGTGTTTCAAAAATTATGTAGCCATTGTCCACAATGAATTACTGTGGGGCTAGGCAGAGAAAGAGGGAATGTTCATGAGATATCTGTGCATAAAAGAAAGAGGCATTTTCACAGCTTTAACGATGTTTGTAATTTGGTAAAGGGAGCAAGCTGCAGGAAGCCGATTATATAGACACATAGATTTATGTTCACCACTCAAGTTATTAACAACTCTGGGTACAAAGAAATAATCAAACAAAAAGCCCTTGGGATAAACGCCTAAAGCTTTCTCATCTGAACACAAATATTCAGCATCTGTCCTGGATGCAGGAGCTTTGTTATCTCAGTATTCAGAGAAGTGCTTTACCTGCTATCATTGAGGGGTCCGCTCCAAAGAAATGCAAGGGGTATGCTTACCCATCTCTTCCATCACCTTCTGTACCAGAAATAAGTGGTAATGCAGAATGCATGACATCTGTGGGGCTCAGGGGCAAGCCCCTCTGTTTCACAGGTATCAGTTATAACAGCCACTTTGTCCTCATCATGGACCACCCCAGGCAAAGCCCAGCAAACTGGACAAGTGCAGGGCATTCCTCTGCTCTGGAATAATATCTGCTGATGGGCAAATAGAGTGCTACAGGACTGGAGAGATGGCTCAGCTGTTAAGAGCATGTGCTGCTCTTCCAGAAGACCGAGGTTCTGTTCCCAGCATCCACATGGTAGCTAACACCTGTCTTTAACTCTAGTGCCAGGGGATCTGACGCCCTCTGCTGGCCTCTGTGGGCACCAAGCACACACATGGTACACTTACATACACGCAGGCAAAACACTCATACACACAAAATAAAAATAAAATCGTTTTAAGAAATAGAGTGCTACAGTATGGGTAAAGAAAACTGCAAATTTGGGACTCATGCATATGCACTTAGCATATGTTTTCTACAATTTGATCTGCTAGGGAACAGAGCTGGCCTTTAAGGGCACAGTTCACTGCTAGTTTCACTATGCTTCATGCACAGCGGTGAGATGCCTTCTGTGAGGAACAACAGAGCGTACAACAGAGCCCCCTGCATTGTGGGGGCTGCATGTTCCTCACGCCAAGGTAAATGTTTAGGGGGAGAAAGCCTGGTCAAAATGGAAAACTCGACATTTGTCGAGACCTAAACAAAGAAAGTTTGATGGTCTGCATATTCCCCTTCTTTTTTCTCCTTTTCTCCCACCCCAGGGTACCATAAGGGTATTACAAGAAAACTCCATTTACCTTAAATTTGAAAAAATATTCACATTCCCCAGGCTGTCCTCCACTCTGCTTGAGTGTCTTTCCAACTCAAGATGTTTTCTGTCTGCTCACCTGCCTGGATAAAGACTGCGTTCATTTTTTAGAGCTGCTATAACAAAACACTGTCAGTCTGGGACTAGGGTTCATAAAACAACTGTCTCTGCGCAGTTCTGGAGGCCAGATGTCCAAAACTCAGAGGCTGACAAGGCCATGCATCCTTCTAAAATGCTGCGTAAATGCCCCGCTCCCTTGCTTGCTCCACCTTCTGGTAGTTGCTAGAAATCCCTTGGTACCCTCAGCCGTTTCACAGCAGCAGCTGCGGCACTGCAACCTCCACCTGCCTCTTCACACAGCATCCTGCCTTGTGTGTCTGTCTTCTCATGACCGTTCCCATTGCCTAGGGCTTGGACCCGTCCTGCTCCAGTGTGACCTCATTTTATTATAATTCATTACATCTGCAGTGACTTTTTCCAGATCAGCTCACATTATTAGATCCTGGGGGTTAGGGCTTTAACATATCTTTAGCAGAGGACGTAATTCAACCTGTAACAAAAATCTTGGAGATAAGTCTACAAACAGCACAGTGAGACCAACATCAAGGTGAAGAAAGACAGGTGGTGGCCCTTCTCTCTGTCAACACTTAGCAGATGTTCACTCATCCTCATTCACAACTGCAGAACCTATCACAGTGTTTCATGCATATTTCATTAGCTGCCTTTCAGCCTTGCAAATAAAAACTCAAGCTATCACTGTGCTATAAAAGGTTGACATTGGTTCATATTTGCCTCCAGTAGGAGGTGGGTGAGAGGATAAGCCATGTCATCCTTACACCGAGTCTATAAAAGCTGTGCAGCTAGCTCATTTGGCTTCTGGGCCTTTAGCTGACTCTTGTTAGCCATGTGAGCCAAGGAAAGTAATTTCACTTCTCTTAGTTTTCATTTACCTATTAAAATGGTTCCTAAGTGTCATGATGACAAGTGAGATAAAGTGTGTGAAAGCCTTCAGACAACAGTGCTGTCTCACTGTTACACTCACATTATCATTCTCCACCACCAAGAGGACTTGTTCAAAGAATCTCCGTAGGTCAATGACAGTTTGCTAGGCTTCTGTCTAGTCTTACTACTTAAATGTAAAGACTAGAGTACACACACAGAGGACAGACAGTTTGGCAGAAAGCCTAACTTTGGGTTATGAATAGAAGATGCAGCTTTAGCATATTATTTGCTCTGAGCAATCAAAAGGGCTGTGTTCATTTTTTATAAGATTCCAACCAGCTTTTGTTTTAGAAGACAGGAAGTGTTTGCTAAAGGAGACCTGGCTCCCCTATGCAGGTTGCTATTATAACAGGTATTGCAAGGTTAATGACTTAATCTGTAAAGGGCTCCAGCCTTTTGGGGGTATGCAAGCTCCAGGACCCATATATCTGTAGACCTGCCATTACTGTACCTCAAATTACTTTTTCAAAGAATTAACTTCAGTGGGATGGGGTTGCTGACATTTTCAACAAATTTGTTGTTGTTGCAACCAAGTTGTCAGAACTGTCACTGCATTCCCCACTGGATATCATTCATCACACAGGGTAAATGCCTAAGAGCCTTGAGGCATCAGCTCCATAGCTGACAGAATTATAAATGCTTTATTTCAAATACTCCCAAAATTTGGCCTTAACCCTTGAATCTCAAATAATTTATATCAATTCAATTTAATTATACACAGAGAGAACCTGAAGTATAGTGAGCCCTGCCTCCCAATTTTAAATTACCTGCCTGTAGTTCTCAAAGCATGGTTCTTGCCTCATGAACATAATGCTAGAGCACGTCTACCCTTGAATGTGGCTCCTGAGAAGGTAACAATTTTTCTCACAATTTCCACAGTACAATCCTTAAGGTAAAGTGGTAGGACCTTTGTTAAAGGAATTTAGAATTCTTTACCTTAAATAACATTCGGAACTGTTTAATGGACTAATTCAACACTC